ACATTCAATCATATAATTTGCATTTAGTTCAACTAATTCATCCACTATTACTTTCATTTAGTTTGGCTACAATTTAGTTACAAAACTCAACCATATTTCACGTTTCGGTTAAGGTCAGAATAAGTAAATTCGAACTAGTAAATCTCTGTGGGAACGATACTTGGACTATAAAATCAATTTTATTGCTTGAACGATCCGTACACTTGCGGTAGTTTTTATTCGAAACATAGTTTCGATAAACAAGTTTTTGGCGCCGTTGCCAGGGATTTAACTTTAGTTTGATTTTATTTACTTTGACACTAATTCGAACTTTTCTTTTCTTTTATTATTTTATTGCTTTTATTTATTTTTGCTAACCCCCTACTATTAATCTATTTCGTGTTTTCACTCTCTCCCTATACTTTTTCAAATAATTGCATGATTCTAACTTGGTGAGGTAAGGAAACTTTTGCAATGGATAATCTCTACATAAATTATGAAGATATGCTTGGAGGATACCCGAGTTGTGATAATTGCTATGCGATGTATTGTACTGGGCAATGTTTGTTCTCGTACTCTGGTTTACACACGCCGAAACTTATGAGATTTAGAGAATATTTAAGGTGTCGGAAGCAAGCAATTGACAAAAATAATGGAGGGTACATACTCGTTGGAGATTTTATACCTTACAATTTGGATGAGGACATCAAACTTGTAGGAGATGGTCCTCCTCTATTAGAAGAAAGGGTAATTACAAAGTATTTCGAAAAACTAGTCAAGTTGGATGAAAGCGAGATGGTTTTGGGAGATTGTATTTACTTGGAAGAATTTCAACATTTGGGGTACAACCCACTTGAAGGGGTCGTCGAGATCGACTTTTCAGTGTCCGTGGATTTAGATTGTGGACCAATCATTTTATCCAATGAGAGTTCAACAATTGAAGAAGAGCAAAAAATGAGTGAAAATTTAATCACAATGAAGCTAAACGAGGATGAGGTGATCAATAAGGAGGAAATAACCTCACATTTTTTCGACTTTATTGATTGTTCAAAAATTGATTTTATAATTAAGCCTGACGAAGATATACAAATCTATATAGTTGAAGTTGAGTCGGATGGAATAGACAAGTCCTATTATGTTGAAAATGGCAAGGAATGGGTGTGGATATCAAATGAAAAGTGGATTAAAGCAAAAAAAAAGAAAAAAAGAAAAATGGACATGGCATCAAAATCCTTCTTTACGTGCCCATGATTAGCCGTCATATAGTCGAGCTATAGACTCTAAACAAGTGCTTGTTGGGATACAACCCAACAGTTCTTTTCATTTTTTTTCCTATTTATTTATTCCATCTATGATATTAACTTATTAACCATATTTAATTTCTTTAGTTTTGATAATTACGGGTCATCCATCATCTAATTAGGTCACGAAGATGCCTTTTGAGGGAAAGTAACGTCCACTTCTAGCAGATGACATTTCGACTTCAGTTTTCTTCCTCCGTCTCCACCATCGCCTACTTTTTGATCAAGGGAGTTTCCTCTATCCCTTCTTTTGCTTTATATTCGCATTGTCATTCAAACTTGATTTCCAATCTTATCCTATGCACATTGAGGATAATGTTCTACATACATTTGAGGGTGAGAATATGTCAATATGTCATTCACCATGTTACTGCAGTTTTTGTTTTTGTGAGGAAAAAAAATTAATTTTTCGTCATTCTTAGTAATAGTTTGGGATTTTGTGTGCTTGTGTGGGTTTAACAATTCTGCTAACAATGATGTCCGATATTGGACTATGTAAGGACCGCGAATGATGAAAGCAATGCATTATTGGATTGATCGCTACATGTCAATGTGAAACTTGATTTACTGTGTGTACAATACTCATGCTTGCTTATTGGGCTAATGATTTGACTCATTATTTAGAAATAGTTGAATATAGAGAATATACCCGAAAAACTTCTTTGTGCTAAACCATGACCAATTTTTAGAATAGTTTAGATGTGATTGAACTATTGCAAGAGAGTACTGGGATGAGTAGGGGTTCCGCGCATGATGTTATGTGTGAATTTTCTAAAACCAATGAGATGAAAACGTAGTGAAAGTTTCAAGTTAGGGTGCAGTGTTAGAAATTGAGTGTCAAAAAGGCATTCCACTATCATTGAATAAACAAAGACATATGTTCAAGCCTATATAACTTGAATGATTAAGTCTGCAAGGGTTTAAAACCTGGTGCCCTATGATTATCTGACTTGGGAATCATGGGCCTAAATCTCGTTACAGTGGCTATACAGAAAGCAAATGAAAGATGCCAAACAAAAAAAAAATTGGTTAAACATACATACTCTCATGAAGGAAATGCATTGGTTAACTTTAGACACTCGGTCGATAAGACTGTATCTCTAATGCGAGGCAATTAGCTTAGTGTAATCTCAAAGGTTGAAGAAATCAAAGATAGGAGAACCTCTACTTGTTGAAGTTTGAACTTGTGATGGTAAGATCTATCTAAGCTAAGAGAGGGGAAGGAATAGATATGAATAAATTCAACCTTAGAATACACCCCGGGATAATTGAGTGAAAAGAATAAGATTGGGGGATGTGTGATCTTTCGAGCGATGAGAGAGGGAAAATCTGACTACATTGGGTCGGGTATGAGTCAAACATGATCCTAGTATGTCGGCACGAATTTACACACTCACGTCAAGTTTTGCATATAACATGTGGAGATTGATTTGATTATTCATGGCTATAGTTGTTCATGTGTTCTTACTAAATACCAACCTTGAGATACCACAAATTGTTAAACCTTGTGTTACTTGGAAGTAAGTTATGAACTTGTTTGAGGATAAACAATGATTCAAGTTTGGAGGAGATTCAATTGGACATATCAAGTTTTTCAATGGCCTTTCCTGAAAGCACTCAATTTTGCTGATGAAGAAATTAGTGTGAGTTGGTTTGATCATACAAGGGAGTGAGTTCTCAAACCTACTATAAATTCCAGCATTCTGATTGTCTGGGAAGTTGTTCATTTTTGAAGGGCGTGGAATAATCTAAATTTCTGAAGTTTGTGTGTGCGCATTAGTTGCTTATTCTTGCACAGCTTCAAACTTCTGCATAATTTCATAGAGCTGCATTTCTCTTTTTCTTGTTCTAGAATGGACTTTTATGGTCAGTTTTCATTTTTTATAATTAGCTAATTGTGGGTTCTAGACTTCTAGTTGACCTAAATTTAAATATAAAAGCACATTTAATTATTTACCTTGTTGTGCCTCCACTTGTGCGGTCAATTTTCTATGATGGATATCATATTTATGCAGGGAGGGAAAGTTTGAATTGCTTAAAAATATAGGAGACAAAATTCTCAACTGATGTAATTTTATACTTAGCCTCCGTTTTTGGGTTTCATTTATTTTTCTAAATTTCTACTTTTCAAGAAATGAGTGGTTAATAATTGGGTAGAACTTGTAGGTCTTACGACATGTGTGGTTAAAATTAATATTGAACTTTGAAAAGTAGAATTTTAGGAGAAGAAAATGAAACCGAATGGAGACTTAACATGCATCTTGTCTATTTTGTGTCTACGGTATTCTAAGCTCTCTACAGTTGTCATTCCTTAGGAATTACTAGTACATTTTATTTTAATATCATGATAAAACTTTTGTTGATGTATTCCAAGACTAGTTTTTTTATCACTTCAATCGAAAATGGAAAAAATTTGATAGCCTTCTAGGTTTGGATATTGAATAACAAGCATTGTAATGGAATGCTCTTCGACCTGCTGAACACGCTGGTGGGCTTAGATGTTTCAAATGGTCAATGTTTTGGCCTGAAAATGAGGTTGCAGGTCCAGTTTTTGGGGGAAAATCGGGCAGTTTTTCTGTTTCATTTTGTTTTTCCATTTCTGGTCGATTTCTGATCAGAATTTGAAGCTCAATCCACCACCAACTCGCTCTGATACCAAATTTTGGGAATGGGTGCTCCAATCTTTAATTTTCGGGCTCAATTTCTCCAACAAACGACACCACAATCAACAACCAAAACCTCACTGCTGTCTTCCCAAACCGGTTGCTTTCTTGACTACCCACAAAGGGCAACAGGTGATGAATATTCAAGGCACAATAACCAATCACAAAAGCTAAGAGAAAGGGAGAAGATGGCACAAAGCCAAAGGGAAAGCACCAAGCCAGTCGACCCTCACTTCTCTCTTTTTCACACTCACGGCTGTCGAGTCAATTCACTCACACACTTAACAACAGTAATGAGGCACACATATATAAAGGTTGGATATAGGCTTTTAGGGTTAGGCCCAATAAGAAATAATAAGACCCTAAAGGTACCAAGTAAATGGGTTATCAACCAACTAGCCATCCAAGGTAATGACCGGACCATGAGCAACACTATCTAAATTAGACTACTTGCAATGGCCCAAATAGATTGTAGTAATGATTTTTCGATTGTGGTATCGACACTTTACTCATCGGCCGAAGGCCTATGAAGTAAGCCAAATACAAAACACGGTTTAACATGGGACTGATTGGGTATCAAAAAACCCAACATATTCAAATTACTTATTCTTTATCTTGTTATACAACAATGAATGAAGAATGGAAAAAGTGTTGTTGCAGCAATTGTTGCCTTTTCTATTATCATTTTTTTTTCCCTTAATGGCAGGCTGTTTCATCGAAACTTTCTTTTCCATATTCTTCTTTAATTAGGACTTTGTTTTCTGAAATTTATAGTTCAGACGGCAAGTTTCCTGATTACAGAGATGTTCAGTTGGATTTTTATCTTTAAAAAATTGTAGATTTTCTAATATGAGTAATATATATGGAATTTTTATGATCTGCGATAACATTCACCGTGAAATTTAAACGGTATAGTCCAAGTTTGAATCTGTGATTATTTTAGTACAAAGGGATTTATCCTCAACTGTGATTTTCGTGCTTTTGTCTTCTATTGTCAAATGATATTTCGCCTGTGGTATTTCACTAGTAAATTGTAATTTGCAATTTTGAGAAGAATATGCTAACCATACTCGTGTTTTCAGGAGAAGCGCAAAGAGAAAACACAAAAAGGAAAAGGAGGACAGAGAAAAAGGAGAAAGACAGAAGTGATGATAAACAGAGTAAAGAAAGATCGAAAAGAAAAACACAAGGACAAGAAGGACAGGGACAAAGAGAAAGAGAAAAGCAGCATATTAGAGGAGGCAACAGTTGCTGGGAACTTGAGGTAAACAATGGAGAGAAATTTCCTACAAAAGGAGGACATAACAAAGACACGAACATTTTTGTGGATGAAACAAAACGGGCTACCCAGTCTCAGGGGTCAAAATGGGGGGAAATATATTCAAAACAGTTTGCCCCCCTGGGGAATTGAGGAATCAAAGTTTTTACAGCAGTTGGACAGGAGAATTAGAAATGATGAGTAGGCTGCGGGAAGCCAGTTGCTTGATAGATTTTCTGGTGCTGACGAAAGGGATCAAGATACAGGTGTCACTGTTGCTTTCAGAGATTTTTCAGGTATATTGGCAGAAGACAATGGAAAGTTCGAAGATAAGAGAGTTGATAATAGACAAATGGGTGTACAAGGATTTAGCAATGAGTTTAGTGGAAATGCAGTGGCCCAGAACCTTGCTGGAATTGCCAAGAGAAAAGTTGAAAGGATGCCCAGACTGGCTGAGGAACAAAATAATAAGATATTGCCGAGTAAAGAGAAATCTAAGGAAAAGGGTGACAATAATGGGGATGCCAAACAGAAGGATAGAGGTAGAGATAATAAAAAAGCCATAAAATTGACAAAGAAAAGGAAAGGGAGAAGAAACGGGAGAAAAGTCGGTGCAAAAGTGAAACTGAGGAAAGCATGCAGATCAGATCCAAGGATATTGGCAGGAATGAGGTTGGCGGTGATACCAGTTATAAAAGGACATACATGTTGAAGGGCCTCAACAGTTCTGCTGTTAGTGAGGGAAATTCGAAGAAAATAAGACTTGGATTCCAACTGCTTTCTCCATGGTAAGTCCTCTTATTCAGTTGAATACTAGGAATAAATTCACACTATTTCTCCAAAATATTTGAATTCAAGTTATTACAGAATAGACTCGCAGGAAAACTGTCAAGCCACTGCCTAACATACCATATGCTTTCCTCTTGTGACCTCGGTGAACTAGTACTTTGATGCTGAATAATATTATACAAGGTTGTTCAACTCCGAATTAACCTTTCTTTAGGCTGATAATAGTTGCTTGTTTCACAGATAGTGAAGTCAGGCATAATAAATTGCAGAGGCTCACTTTTCATCAATTGACAGAGAATGGAACGAAACTCGAATCAGCCCGAGTTCACTATTTATCTGCCTTGGATAAGCAGGGGGTTCCAAACAATTTTCCATTGGATAACAAGGACTCAAAGGTGAATGGTATAATTGAAGCCCATAAACTGTCAACTAAACCTAAGCCTTCTGCTGTAAGTATGTTTGGTGATCAAATTGTCGTAGCATCAAAGAAATCTCCCCTTCCTGATTCCAAGCATGTTAATGGAATACCTAATGAATCCATGATGGAGGATCAAATTGATGAAGCATCAAATAGACCTCCTCATCCAGATACCAAGTATCTGAGTGAGATACTCTCGGTGCCCAAGATGGAGACATGGAGTGGCCCAATGTTGAGGACTAGGAATGGTTGTTTACCGAGAAAGAGCCTTCATCAAATAGCAAGGTGAGCTCAACTGCGGTCAATGAAGAGCTGCACGTATGGTCTCAAGCTTTGCATATAGAATCAGCTGATATTTTTGCCCTGCCATATGTTCCCTGCTGATCGTCTTTATTCAGTACTATCTAATGCACGAAGCCTTT